TTGGTACCTGGGATCAAACTCGGGACCTTGCACTCGCAAAGCAGGCAGCTGAACCACTGAGCTAAATCCCCGGCCTGAGAAACATTTTCTTTTTAATCCATGTTTATTTTTTTTTTCCTTTCTGTTCTGTGAAGTGGAATCTAACCTTGCTGACACACCGACACTGAGCTTAGGCATGGGTGGGTGATGCAATGCTGGTCATGAGGAAGTCACTGCCAGGCAGTGAGGGGGGAGGGGAGAAGCATGTCTGGCAAAGTTTTCCTTGTGTGTTATAAAAGCGACAGAAGGAAGAAGAGGTCCCCTTCGTCTCCAGACATCATGGTGAAGATGTGATATTTGGGCGTAGGGGAACCAGCTTGTGAGCGAGTGGGGAGAACCAGTTTGATGACAGAGCCAATATGTGGGGACTGCAGAAAGAAGAGAAAGTGAGGACCTGGTCTTTGGCAATGCTACAGAGCTGCCACTGAAAGGAATGTACCTGGAGCCTGCCTACCTCCAGATTCCTGTAAACATGAGATACTATCACCCCTCACCCCGCTATTGTGTCCATTTTCAGTTGCGTTTTGCAGCCAAACCCAGCACTAGTGCCCACAGGATGACAGGGTCCAGGTACTCCTCCTGGTAGGGAGTACAAGTGAAGGTCACCGAGGATCAGGAGATCAAAGAAGCAGGAAGCCAGAGTGGAGGATGGGCCAACCTTGTGAGTTGACAAATCGCCCGAAGAGATGCCCCGGCTTGAGAGGAAGAGGACTTGTGAGGCAAGAGCTGAAGTCTCCGGTGAATGAAGTGGCTGACAGAAACAGCAAAGCACTAATGGAATAGTGGGAACCTCGAAAGAGCCAGCATTTTGACATGAACAGGAAGAATGCATCTGTCAGGGTTGTTCTGGTTATAAGGGGCAATAAAAAATTCTGCCACTTACATATGTCACTTGTGAAGAGCCTGTTTAAGGCCAGCCCATTCTCTCTCTGTTCTTTTATGAGGCTTTCTCACTGACGTACATTCTTTATGTATTCTGGATGTGAATCTTTGGTGAAGATATACATATCGGGAATGGAAATCTCCCCTCTTGGTTCATGGCTTTTTTTTTTGCCATCCCTAAGTGAACACTTGCCAATTTTTGACAATCTTCTGGTGTGATTTTTTATTTTTTAAATGGTACCAGGGATCTTGTGCTTGCTAGGCAGGCAGCAATGCCATTGAGCTAAATCCCCAGCCCATGCGAAATTATTTTTTTACTGTGTTTTCAATTTGTATTTCCCTTAATCAGAATGTAGGAGGCAAATGTCTTTTGCCAACCAGAGTAACCTCAGGTAGGAAATCTAACACTGGGCTTTTTTTTTTCTTCATTTTTGACTCCCACTGTGCTTACTCAACACAGGCTTAACAATTAAGAGAACGGCTCACCGAGGGAGGCTGACACCCTTCCCCAATAACAATCATTCAAATTGGAATACCTAGCATGTATCGGGTATTAGGAAATAATTTGTAGTCATTTTTTTTTTTATCCTTGGGAGACTATGTTATTGTCCGTTTTTCCGAAGGCCGAACTGAAACCCAGATTCACCAGGCCCTGCCTTAGATCTTCTATTTTGTTTTGTTTTTTGGTCCTAGGGATTGAACTCCGGACCTTATGCCTGCGAGGCTGGTGGTGGAACCACTGAGCTAAATCCCTGGTCCCCTGCCTTAGATCTTAATAAAACAATGTATTGCCCTGTGGCTCCCAAAAAGATATAGCCACATCCTAACCTCCAGCAACCGTGATTGAGACCTTATGGGGGGGGGTGTCTCTAGAAATCTAATAAAGTTAAGGATCTTGAGATGAGGTCATCCTGGATTGCCAGGGTGGACCCCAAACCCAACCCTAAGTACTCTTCTACAGACACACACAAACCATGGAAATTCTGGAGCCAGCAGAAGCCGGAAGAGGCAGGGAAGAATCTGCTCTAGGTTGTGCGGAAGGAGCATAGCTCTGCTGTCTTTGATCTCGGACTTCTAATCTCCAGAGCTGTGAGAAAATTAATTTCTGTTGTTTCAAGCCACCAGCTTAAAGTCCCCAGGAAACTAACTCATCGGGCCACAGAGATGGAAGAGGAGAGGTGGGAGTTGTCCTCCCTGCCCCGAGCTCGTGGACCTCCGTCTCCTTTTCTGTGACCCAGTTCCCTCCCGCCTGGCCTCAGCTCACTTCCCTGTGGTTCAGCAGCCTCCTTGCCAGTCCTGGAATGTGCCAGGGACCTTTTCCTCGCAGTTCCCTCTGCCTAGAGTGTCTTCCCTCAGATATTCATGGAGGTGCCACAGCTTCTGCCTGGCTTCCTCTGACACTCACCCTTGGAACTCAGCTACCGCGGAATGAGGAAGGCCGAGCCACATGCTGCTCCCCGCCCAGACAGGATCCCGATGACACAGGCTCAAGTGAGGAAGTCTTCAAGGTGAATCCAGCCCAGCTGACAACTGGCTGCTGCTGAATGCCAGTGGTGGAGGGGAAAGTGCCCAGCTGAGCCCAATCAACCCCTCACACCAAAAGGTAATAATACAAATGGCTGCTGTTGCTTTATGCCACTGAGAATGGGGGGATGCTAGGCAGCAATCGACAGCTAATGCTGGAGGAGAGAGTTACCCACGCTAAGCCTCAGACCAGCATGGGAGGGGATGCCGATCTTTGCGTCTTTGTCTTCCTGCTGGACCCTCCTCGTCCTCCATCTGAACACAGCCCGTTAAATGCTCAGTCACAGCAGAGGGCCTATGGGGCAGCGATCTCCTCCCGCATCTGTGAGCTCTGTAGGCCCCAGGCTCTTTCTTGGCCACTGACTTGATGATTTACATGTGTTCAAACCTCACTTTCCTCTTCTATAAAATGTATAACGTTCCCAGCTGTGACCACTCATGGACATGCTACGAGCTTCTGTGCTGAGTTTAAGGGGTTCCTGTCAGTGCATGCATTTTAGAATCCACGTTGGCAACTAGAACTGCACAATACCCTAAAAAGGCCGTTTTTGGATCATCCTATGTAGCCTTCCCTACTGTGGAAGGGGAAACTGAAGACAAAATACTGGCACCTAGTAAGTGTCTCTGAACGTGAGAGAACGTGGGAACGGAGAGAAAGAAAATAAGCAGAGCTGGGCCTGTCTGAGACGACATACTCCAGTCCCTCCTCCTCTCGGTGGCTATGGGTCCCTGTCCTGTCTCTGCTCGTCCTACTGGTGATCTCTCCCCCAGGCACTCTGTGCGGAATGAGCATCAGACGTGCACCCCGACACAGGACACCAGGCCTGGGTGATTTGCCTCTCTAGAGACCTCTCCACCGTCCCAGAACTCTTCCCTTATGACACTTCCTCAAGTCTCCTTAAAATAAAAGGATTTGATAACCAACTATAGCTCACCAGGATGACGCATTCCCAGGGAGGCTCTGCGGTCCCTCGGTGGTGGTTGGGATGGCTCATGACACATTCTCCCTCAGGAGGACAAAGGAAAGCAAGTCACTGTGGTCGCCATCAGGTGTCCACTTTGCCTACCTCCTCCATTTTTTCCCCTCTTTCCAAAATCTGCATCAGATTCCTGGGTTGCTGGAACAAAGTACCACAAAACTAGTGGCTTAAAACAACCGGGTAGCCCTTCCTCTGGTGACACTGGATAAAAGAGGCCCGAGGGTACTTACCTGAATTCTGCAGGGTGTATGTAGGGTTAGGGCACCTCGGTGCATGCCCTTCAGCACCACGTGGAGAAGGAGGTGGGTGTGCGAGTGTACAGCAGGGCACTGGGGCTCAGAGCCTACTACACCCGGGGCCAGCCCGAGCAGGGTTCTGGTCCTGACTCCACGCTAACCGACTCAATCTTACTGACCCTCAGTTTTCTCTCTTCTCTTTTCTTTTCTTTCTTTTTCTCTCTTTCTTCAAACCTTGCGCTTGCCAAGCAGGTGCAGCGCTGCTGAGCTACCACTGCCCCAGTTTTCCTAGCTACAAAATTCAGCTAGAAGGGCCAGGGAATCAGCTCAGTGGTTCCGCCACCTGCCTTGCAAGTGCAAGGACCCAAGTTCGATCCCCGGTACCACAAAAAAACAAACAAACAAACAAAACAAAACAAAAAAGTTCAGCTAGTAATGATGTTTATCCTATAGGGTTGTGCAGGGGGTTAAATAAACTAGTCCATGATTTGCAACAGTTTTGATGTTAGGTATGATTTTTTCCCCCTGTATTTTCACTGTCATGTCTTTGAAAGTGGAGTACTCATACCTGGGCAGTTTTGATTGCTCAGGTCTTTTGAAGTTTTCTTTCCTTTTTGCTCTGTTTACTTCCCTCCTTTCTCCTTCCCTACATCCCTTCCTCTCTTCCTGGCTCCCTGCCTTCCTTTCTTTGTTGGCAGCATTGGGGATTGAACCCTTGTGCATATTACCGCTACCACCTCTACCACTAAGCTACATCCCCAGCCCTTTTTAAATGTTATTTTGGGACAGCATCTTGCTGAGTTGCTGAAGCTGGGCTTAAACTTGTGGTCTACCTCCCTGAGGCTCCTGAGTAGCAGATTTAAGACATGTGCCACTGTGCCCCTGCCTGGCTCATTCTGAAGAACCAGGTGGGCACCTCTTCTAGGGGCCCCAGGTCTAATGATCGTCTCTTCCTCCTCACTGCACGCTGCTCTGGCATTGATAACCTGAATGGAGACAGCCGATGAGTTGTTCTCTCCCACAGTGAGGACACTGCTTGAGGATAGGGGCCCTGCTTGAGGCATCTGTGTTCTCCAGCGGCCTTCTCTGATCTGACAGTTGTTTGTGTGATGACTGAAAGGAAAGAGGACGAGAGGGTGTCACGAACAGCTCACAGATTACTGGCTGAACCTCAGGCCCCAGGACTCTGGCAGGTAAAGCACAGGCCAATGTTAAAGGGCTGATCCTTGCCTAACCTAACAGTGTACATGAGAGTGAGTGTTTGAACATGTGTGGATGTGTGACAGCATGTGAATGTCTACGCATACATTTTTTTTTAATTTTAATTTTTAAAAATTTGGTTTTGTTTTTCTGAGACAGAGGTCTTGCCATGTATGTGGACCAGGGTGACCTTGAACTCACAGAGCTCTGCCTGCCTCAGCCTCCCGAGGACTGGGATTGCAGGTGTGCACCCAGATGTCTGGCTGAATGAGTGTTTTTGTAGCGTACATGTATGCCTGTGGATGTCCAGGGACAGGGGCTTTGTCTTGTTCCCTTGTGCATCTCTGCATCCGGCCTCTCAAATGGAGGTGCATGTGTGATACAGGAGTAGTAAGCAGGGCAACAGTGGTTACCAGCAGGGCCTCTAGAGTCAAACAGCATTGGCACTTCCTATCTGTGGGCAAACCCACCTCTGTAAGTCTCAGCTTTTCATCTGTAGAGTGGGTATCACTGCAGAATCTGCCTGGAGATTAAGGAGCTTAGAATTGTGGAAACCAAAGGAAATAACTCAATAAATGTCAACTAGTATTACACTCTGTCACTACCAATGCCCACAGCAGATGCTTTGCTGGGCTAAGATCTTCCAAAATAAACCAAAGACAACTCACTAGCAAGGTTCACTAAACTTCTCTGAGCCTTTGTTTCTTTGAGATGGAGTCATTAATTGCAGGGCTTGTTTGCTGCAGCAGCTGGGAGGCTTACAAAACAGTCGTCCAAATCCCGCCCTGCAGGAGGGTGGGGTTTGGTGGCCACCGGTTTAAACCAAAACTGGGAGAAGAGCGCCCTCGCCTGGCAGAGTATGGTAAAGGAGACACCAACCCAACAAAGGCTGACCTCCGAGGTCCCGCGGTGCTATCAGGACTCCGTTGCTATCAGCAAAGGAGACAGGCAGAGGGGCAGTAGCCCGGGAGGGGATTCTTTAAGTTCCCCTGGCTAGAAGCCGCCACCTCTCTTTCCGTCTGTTGAGCTCCTCTTCCCAGCTCGCTCCAGGGGCCTGCCCCACCCTCACCCTCACCCCCACTCCAACCCAAGCCTTGTCAGACTGGGCCAAAATCCCCGTTAGTTTTAGAGAACCCGTGTTCACTTTGCATTATTCTGTGGGGTCATCATCTCATAAATGAAGGAGAGTGGCAGCGTCCCCGACTATTTGATTCCTAGAGTTCCTGAACCAAGCTTTTAGCAAATGTTACAAGAAGAGGATTGTGGAAACCTAGCAGGCTGGGTCTTCTAGCACCACTCCGCAAGGTGAGCCGGTACCGTGGGCAGAGGCCAAGAGCTTCGGAAGACATCTGGGAGCATTCACTTCTTCCTCCAAATACTGTGAGCCTTCTCTGTGTGGGACACTGACCTGGACACTGCGGGTACCGCCGGTGGCCAAGACTCGAGGCTTAAACCCTGCAAACAGTGGGACACATAATCGGACAACCTTGATATGATGAGATTACCTCACTCATCTGAATAATTCGGTCACCCATCCATACACGCGCACCCCTTTTATAGGTGGAAAGACAAGCTCAGAGAGGGCTCGCTGCTGGTGAGGAACAGTTTTGTGTGGGGTGAGTCAGGAGGGTTTCCTCCAAGGGGAAGGCATGTCGGAGGGTGGGTGCGGCTGGCTCCGGGACTCCGACCGCCCCCTCATCACCCACCGCACAGCACAGCAGGGTGAAAAGGGCAGAGGGGGAGAGGACTCCTGTCGCAGGCGTCTAAGAGGTCTCCCCGCTCTAACTCCCGCTCTGCGGACCCTGAGGGCGTTTTTCAAATGCCAGGAGGCCTGGGGCGCCGCAGTTAGTCAAGAGAGGGCTCCCCAGAACTGCATGCGCCTCTCCATCCCCAGGGGCGGGCCTCCTCCGCCCCGGTTTCCCAAGGAGTGCACCGTGTGGTGAGACTGCCCTTGGCAACCAGGATGGGGCGGCTCAGAAGCGGGGAGGGTCCCATGGCCAATGGCCTGGCTCCTGCCCTCTCCGCCCCCTGGCGCGGGGTTCTGAGTGTCTGCGCCAAAAGCAAACAGGGAAAGGGCAGGTGCAAAGGTTGAGGGGCCCATCTGTCTCTGCCTCGGGCCACTGGAGCCTGGACTCGCGCGCGCTGTGCCTTTCTGAGGGGCAGATGCCTCCCCGTTCCTCGCCCATTGTGAGCAGATCTTCGTGTATCCATCCTGACCCATGGATTTTGAATAAATAGGTAAATGCCTGTTTGTTCTTTTCTTTTTACACAAATAATAGCATAACAGGTATACTGCTCTGCACGCAGGCTTTTTTCCTCTTCTTTATGTAACATCTTGAAAAATCTATTTTAAGAAACATCTTTGTTTTTTTAAAAAATGGCTGTCTCACCAGCCTGGGCTACACAGTGAGTTCCAGAGCAGTCTGAACTACATAGTGAGACCCTGTCTCCAAAAACAAAACAAAACAAAACAAACAAACAAAGGCTGTCTCAGAATCCCACACTGTGATCTGGACCATTATTTACTCAACAAGTTTTCTACTGAAGGACAATTAGAGTATTTTCAATCTTTGGCTTTTAACATCATTTCACTTACATTTGTGTGCATCTTTGGGATAGATTCCCAGAAGCTGGACTGCCTGGCCAAGGGGTATGTGAACCTGTAATATTGTTAGCTATTGTCAGAGAGTTGTTTATGAAAGCTTTCCAAATGCAGTGTAGGAGGGGCCTGTTTCCCCACAGCCTCACCAACAGGTGATCATACGTTTTAATTTTTATCCACCTGATAATAAATTTAAAAAGAAAAGTAAGCCCGGAGCAGTGACACATGCTTGTAATTCCAGCTACTCTGGAGGCTGATGAAGGAGGATTGCAAATTCTAGGCCTGGCCAATTTAATAAGACCCTGTCTTAATTAAATAAAAATTAAAAAAAAAATAAAATAGGGCTTGGGGTGAAATTCAGTGGTACCTAGCTTGCCTAGCAAGCACGAAGCCTTAGGTTCATCACCATTCCCATAAAGAAAAAACAATTGCAGGCCAGGGATGTGGCTCAGTGCTGCTGAACCTGCCCGGCAGGTGTGACGTCCTGAGTTACATTCCTGGAACAACAACAACAACAACATTGACGAAAGAGAGGGAGAAAAAGAATTGATTATTCTCTCCTATTCTCTCCTCCTGAACCTCTCGCCCTACCTGGCACTAAGGAGGCGTCCCTCTTGCTCATGTTTCTCTCCTTTCCTTTCCATTCTATAATGATTTAGGGGTTAATTCACCAAGAAGTCACGCGGCAGCCCTAAATGTGTATGCATAAAACAACAGAGTTGCAAAACGTGATGCAAAAGCTGATAGACTGAAAAAGAGAAATAAATCTACAATTACATTTGGAGGCTCAACACCCCTTCCACGAACTGATAGAACAACCAGTCAGAAAATGAGCAAGGACACAGGAGAACCCAGTGACACTACCAAAGAGCACTACCTAATTGACATCGAACCGGCTACCGACAACAGTGAAATACACATTTGTCCCAAGTGCTCAAAAAACATATACCAAGAGCAACCACATCCTGGGTCATAAAACAGATTTCAACAAATTAAAGATCGGAGAGCACACAGGATGTGTTCTTTTGATCCACAATGGCAGCAAACTGAAATCACTAACAGAAAGATAACGGGGAAAATCTCCAAAACATGGAAAACAATCACTTCTAAACAGTCTATAGAAAGGCTATTTCAGGGATCATTCCTATAGTTAGTTACTAAGTAATGTGTAGATTAAAGATGACATCTCAAGGGAAGTGAAAAAATTACATTGAACTGAATAGAAATGGAAGTACACATATTACAATTTGTGTTAAGCAAGGCGTGGTGATATCCCTGCAATCCAGCACCTGGGAGGCTGAGACAGGAGGATTGCTCAAGTGTGAGGCCAGCATGGACTAAGCAGTGAATTCAAGGCCAGCCTGCAATACATAGTGAGACTGTCTCAGAAAAAAAAAACAAAAACAAAAATATTTGCTAAAAAATCAATAAAATTGGTTAACCTCTAGGAAGATTAACAAAGACATTCAAAGGATAAGAAGGGAACACCACAAACTAGTCTATACTGATAAATTTGACAACTTTAGCTAGGTGTGGTGGTGTATCCCTGTGATCCCAGCTACCCGGGAGACTTGAGTTGGGAGGATTGCAAGTTGGCCAGCCTAGGGAACTTAGCAAGATGCTGTCTCAAAGTGAAAAATAAAGAGCCAGGTCTGGTGGCACACACCTGTAATCCCAGCACTTAGGAGGTGGAGGCAGGAGAATCACTATGAGTTTAAGACCAGCGTGAGCTACACAGTGAGTTCAAAGTCGCCCTGAACTAAATATGAAACCCTGTCTCAAAAAACAACAACAAAAAAAGAAAAAGGGAAGA